CATCCCTAACGTTTTTTTGTATCATTAATGGTCCCTAACGTTAATACATGTACTCTTAAATCGTCCATCTGTAAAAAAAAACCGTTAAATCTAGGGGTATAATCGTCAAATCAATCCAAAATTATAATTTTTTTTTCCTTCCCTTCTCTCTCTCTCTCTGTTTCTCTTTTTTTTTTCTCCTCTCTTTCCTCCTCTTTTCTTCTTCTTTTCCTTCGCTGTTTCTTCTTTCTCTCCCTTTTTTTTTTCTTCTTTCCTTCTTTGTTCCTCATTTTTCTTCTTTCCTTCTTTCTCTTTTTTTTTTTTTTTCCTCTTTTTTCTTCCTCTTTCCTTCTCTCGGGGTGGTGATTTGGGTGGCTAGAATGTTGGGTTGGTGGGCTGTGGAATGGGGCAGGGAGAGAGTTGCAGAGAAAGTACATAGAGGGGCAGGGGTATAAGATCCCACGGTGGTGGTTATGGAGGTCGAGGTGGTGGTTTGGGTGGCTAGAGTAGATGGGTTGGTGGGCTGTGGGAGGGGGCAGGGAGAGAGTTGCAGACAGAGTAGAGAGAGGGGCAGGGATATAAGATCCCACGGTGGTGGCTTTGGTGGTCGGGGTGGTGGTTTGGGTGGCTAGAGTGGTCGGGGTGGTGGTTTGGTTTGGGTGGCTAGAGGAGACAGACAGACAGAGAGAGAGAGAGAGAGGGAGAGAGATCCAGAGATGTGATTTGGATTTTACAATAAATAAAAATGTCACAATTTGAGGTGCTGTTGAGAGCTCCTGCCCTTCAATGGGGTTTATATGCCAAATGGTTGAAGCTGAAAATGACTGAGAAACCCAAGACAAAGGTTCTGAAATCTGCGTGAGTTATTTGGCCTCGTTCATAATGCCTGCCTGCTTTGGGTTTATCGACAACACCCCCAACAAAAAAGAAAAAGCCAACAGATTCACACAAAAGGGTTTTTATTTTTTGGGTTTTGGTTGGTGAAAATGGATCTTTTGACTAAAAGTGAAAGCAATAACAAGAACAGAGCCAGTTGTGGTCTTCTGCATCACAAATTCACAATAAGCCTCTTTCTATAAAAGAAAGAAAGAAGAAGAGTGAGCGGGGCCAGGCGGAGAGAAAGAAGAAAGAAGAAAGAAGAAGAAAAGAAAAGAAAGAGAAGAGAAGGAAAAAAAAATATAGTTTTGGATTGATTTGACGATTATACCCTTGGATTTAACGGTTTTTTTGACAGAGGGACTATTTAAGAGTACCTGTATTAACGTTAGGGACCATTAATGATACAAAAAAACGTTAGGGATGCAATGTGATAATTTCGCAAACGTCGGGGATGTTTTGTGATAATAAGCCTAAATTGAAATTGCAATTGCAATAGGTGGTGGTCCACGCAGAAGACCAAAGAAATCAAAAGATCAAGTGATGACAAGTTCGTACGTATGTGGAATTAAATGGGATGCCCTGTTTGTTACGCCAATCGAGTGTCGAGTAATTGATGACAAACAAGTAAGAAAGTGTCATCTATGTACCTACCTAATACCTATGAGTGTCACTTTACTCTCTTTCTTTGGCTGTTTTGCCTTGCCATCCATCAACACTTCCTTCCTTCCTGGGGTTGTGAACTTGTGATTGGGAATTAGCAAGTGAGAATATAGGACTAGAATATAAACATAATCAACTACGATATATAAATCCAACCATTCATTAACCATAATTTCTACAGAGGCCATACTTGTAGGTTTTTTTTTCATTGGCCATAAAAAAATCAAATTGTGCAAGCAAGCAATATCACTCTGTCTGCATATTTCCCAAATGCTAAGAACAAAAAGGGAAATTTCTCATTGAGTAGTAGGGTGAGACATGAGAGTGAGGGCAGAGGTGAAAGTGAGAAGCAAGTAGGCAAAGAAAGCCAAATAGGAGAAGGCAAGAGAGATGGACATTCTGTTGCAGTACTTGGAGACATAGCCGCATGTAGGCTGCCAAGTCATTTTTTTCTCTCCATAGCGCCCCACGTAACCGATTGCAGTCGCAGCTGCACATCCAGATATTATCAACACCATCATCACCTGCAATTCACATTAAATCATTACAATTCTCATAAGTGATGAAGAATTATGAAATCATAAGAGAAGCATTTGCTGCTAACCACATCATGCAACAAGAGAAAGAAATAGTTTTTGAGCTGCTGCTGTTGTGGCACTGAACGGCTTAAGAACAAGGATAAGAAGATCAATGACAGTGCAGAGAAGGCACACACCACAGCATTAGCACCAACCAAGAACCTGTAACAACAGAAACCCAGCAAATAAAAAATAAATGAACGATTCAAAAATTGGATCTTTGAGAGTTGAGAGCAGTGCAGTGCAGTCAGTGGCGGATCTGTGTTTACTTGAAGGCAGTTGAGTAGGTATAATGTGCTTCGAACTTTATCCCAAAAACGATGACAGATTGGGTGTTGGTGACGATAACAGAGATTGCGATCAATGTGAAGACGATGGCTGAGATTCTTAGAGTGGCTTGAGCCACCAACAAACTCATCCTCTGCTGCCGTGGAGTTGACATCGGAAGGCCTGAAGGAGATGTCATTTGGGGGAGCACAGAGAAAGTTTTCTCTTTACACGCCTCTGACGCCATTTGAAATTGAAGCTGGGTTGTGTTCTTTTTCCAAGGAATTGAATAGAAAACAGAGAAAATGGGGACGATGGGCACGTTTCAAAAACCCAAAGAGGACAAGATCCAGTTGTGATCTGAGGAGGGTTTTAGAGAGGTAATAAGTGAGCTTTACCTAACAAGGACGGGAAAGGAAGACCCTTCATAAATGGAGTCTTTCTCTTCTGACCAATAAAGAGGCAAAGGAAAACCCTTGTCTCGTAGTCGGACCCTTTGATTTTGGGGATTTCCATTTCATTATACAACCAAAATACAAATAAAACAAGTTTCCCTTTTCTGAAACCCAAAACCTAATTATTTTTTACAAATAAATATAGGGATTAGGTTGGTGTAGTCGGGTTATTGGAATTTAAAATGTACAAGCTCACCAAGAGTAGAGTACAATAAATAAATTTCAAGTCTGCGACTGCGACCAATCCAAACCATTGTTTGTCAAAATTGAAATCCTATCCTATCAGAAGCACAACCACATGGGGACATGTTGCTTCTCTTCTCTTCTCTTCTCTTTTCTTCTCGTCTGTACTCTCCTCTCCTGTGTGTGTCGTGTTGAAAATGGATATTATGAAAGAGAAAGAATGCATGCATCGTTAATTTGGAATGACAATTGGGGTCCATCCATGCATCAATCAACCAACAATTGTGACATTTAAATGATTTTGAGCCTCCAATGGGAATGGAGCGCATTTCATGGCCAGCCGTTTACCTCCATTGGGAGAGCTCCCGCGACGAAAGGGATTAGTCACTGCTGTCGGCGGTGGATACCCTTGGATCTCACCTAAAAAAAAAAAAA